CCTGGCGATGGTTCTGGAAGCTGTGCATGGCGCATTTTGTACGATAAGTTCAATTCTCAGTAACGTGAGGTGCCTGGATGAGACCAGCCCAAGACGCAAAAAGACCAAGCACAGTATAATTCTTCATACTGTCTTTAAAGTCCTGAAAAAAAGCCTTCTCAGTATATTTCCGGACAAGGTGGACTGCACCCCAGCGACTAGAGTCCATCGTGCGGAAGGGCTGGGCCGCACGGGCTGCTCCGGCCAGACAGTGAGGGTCCCATGATTCGGGTGTTCTCCCTGGGGAATGTCTTCTAGTTCCGCCTCAAGACCGGCTCTCAAAACACTGTTGAGTCCGTGCAAAGTCGTCGTGCTGGCAATCGGCATAAACTAGACAGCGAACTTGGCCACCGAGAGGGAAAGGTCCACCCTCCTCACGTGGAAAGCGCTCTATCGCCCTCCTACCTGGGGTTTTCAAAGTTATCCACCTCGCCCCACCTCGCCCAAGCCCTGTGAGCGAGGGAGCGGTGACCCATCAGACGTGCCCTCGGCTCGGAGCGCTCTCGGAAGGAACCTCTTCTCGGGGGGCCGTTGAAGGGCCTCCTGCCATCAGCGTGGCCAAACGCCGAGGGGGGCCCTTGGGGGAGCGTGAGGGAATGCAACTCCTCACACTAGAGTTAGAGAAGCTAAGGGAGGCGCTCGTTCAAGAACCCACGTTCCCAGTGGGCCTCCCCCACCCCCCACCCCTGCTCTAAGCAAAACAGCTGTGTGTTTAGGCTTTCTTATAATCGGCCTGCATGGTGCAGATGGGGAGCAGAGGGCAGAGATGCTGTGGCCTGTCCAGGTCCCGCTGACGGTCAGTGTCGTACCCAGGCAGAAACAAACCTTGTTCTGGACTCCTTCTCCAAGATCCTCGATCCTTCCATTAGCACCTCCGCTGTCTTGCGCCCAGAGCCCCCTTCTCCTGCTTCCCCCCAAACCTAACTGAAAACCCCTCCAAGCGGTTGCCCTCAAATCTAAAAATAAAAGGAAAGCTGTGTCTGTGTTGCCGAGGCCGGTCCACCCCAGGTCAGGTCCTCGTGGCTGCGGCTGCTTCTGGCAGAGGACGACGGGTCAGGCGAATGGACACGTCCACCCGCCTAATGACAACGGCTGCTGAACTGAGATACGGGGTTCTGGAATACTCAGAAGGGCTTAATCCTCTCTCCTGCGGCCTTTTCTCCTGGTATTTCCTGAGGACAGTTGGAGTCCTGCAGCGACTTGCTTTGGGTCTGACTAAGCGTTTTCTCTGGAGAGGAGCAAGCTACAAGGAGGGCCTCATTCCTGGACGGGAGCAAGGCCCAGGAGAGGCCCAGCGAGGAAGAGAGCCGGGGCTCTGGGCCCGCGGCCTGGCTGTCCCTCGCAGGGGGGAGAACGTGTGTAGCGTGTGGCTCTACATTCGCAAGGGCAGGAGTTTAGCTGCAAGATCCCCTTGGCTTTTTCTGAATCGAGAGCAAACGGCGAATTCTCCCCCAGGGCCAAAGACAAAGTTTTCCTCCGGGAGCACTTCTTCCTCCGTCGTGGAACATCGGGTCCAGGAGGACCCCTGTGTGCTGTGACACACGGGCGGCACAAAAATCCTTTGATCTGAGCCTCGACTTGGCCCTCCCGGGCACCTTTGTGGCAATTCACAAAACTGCTGTCGTTCGCGTATGCGGAGATGTTTGTTAAGCGGCAAGACCCCGAAAAGAAAAGGGCCCTTTCCCCTCCCCCGGGGGACCGGGGGGGGGGCACCTTCACGGGTGGGCTGGTGACAGGGAGGGGTACAAGGGAACCTTCTGGAGAGCTGGGAAGGTCCTAAACCCTCGGCCTCCGTGGTGGCACTGGGGGGGCGTGTGCCTGTGTGAAAATTAAAAAGTCACCACGGTGTATGCTTCAGATCTGTGCCTTTTGGTCGGTGTAAGTTATGCCTCAACGCAAAAGAGAAATGCCGTTTTCATTGCTTGGATATGCCGGTAGTTTGGGAAGGGGACTTCTATGTCCAAAAGCTAAAACATGCGTAACTTCCATATTTCAAGCCATCCCTGGGCTCCCTCCTACGATACCTTCTGTGCCCAAGCTCTTACCTCATAAAACATGACCGACTTTCAAGGGTCAAAGACGATTTTTCCCCATCTGTCATTCTTGTCCGTGGCGAATGTGGACATGTCACTTGGAATGTAGCACGGAGGCCCTGATGAAATTGGAAAAGCATGTGGAGATAAAAATCATCCTGGGATGAATCCAGACACTTCCTGCCACTCTCCAGATGTCACGGAGCTGGGAGCCACCCTCCCGGGGGGGAAGTGATTCAGCCCGCCCCGGCCAGATGTGTAGGAAGCCGCCTCGGCCCCGCATGCTAACACTGTCCTGATTGTGCAGAGCATATGTGTCCGGTCAAGAGTGAAAAAATGCAGGCAGGGGCACACGCCAGGAGTCTTTCAAGCGTGGCCCACCAGTCAGCCTACAGCGTGAGGCCCCGATCCGTCCAGTCAGCAGATGTGTGTCACCGGGACGCAGGCTGAGGCTGGTCAGACGGTAACAGAGCTCAGTGACCTCATGCACACACTCAGCCCTTCCTGAGAACCTCACGCTGCAGTTGTCATGCCGTGGGACGCGTGTCAGCTTGATTCCGAGGCTGCCTGCCACATCCACGCTCGAACGGCACCGAGTGGCAGAAACGCCCTTTCCTGCACCCAGCAGCGTGCCGGGGACTTCCACCGGCGGGCGGACGGGACCAGCACCCCCGGGTGCCCCAGCGCGGACTGCCGACTCCGGGTCACTTTGAGCCGTCTCGAATGCAGCCGCATGCAGGCTGTTTGGGGGAAAAAAATGTCCCATCGCCAGGTTGTCTCTCCCTCCTGGTCTGGCCGGGGGCCCAGGCTGCCCACGACACCCCTGCCCTGGTCCCTCGGCAAGCCTTCAGGGCTCCCACCGGCCCGGCCCGTCTACAGCCCGCCCTGAATGTGGAGTTTCTCCAAATGTTCTACACTCACTGAGAAAGCCTTCGCAAGCGCCCTGGCTGCTCTCACGAAAGAGGGTTAAACGTGCGTGCACTCTTGCACAGGCACACGTGTGCATACACACACACACACACACACACACACACACACACATTCCTCGGGAAGAAACAGGGAACCACATACGATGTCACTCAGAGAGAGGTGGACAAAGGGCAAGGCCAGAGACACTCTGGACGAAGCCGGAAGGCCTCGTCAGGAAAGCCTCTGTGTGCCCACAACCCCTCAGTTGGCCAGCAGCAGGGGAGACTGTTCCGAAACAGAAGTCACGGTATGTAGTCCTCGTGGGCGAATATGGCTGGGCAGATGTAGAAACATTTCTCAACGCCTGTTCCCACCGACTGCTTAGAAACCAGGTCTTGGAGAGATCTGCACCCGCCCCCCCACGGCTTTCACCCGCAGACCTCCCAGCCTCTGAGGAATTCACGGCCGGCACAGAAGGACTCTGTTCCCGGGGCATCCATAGTCCTCGTGGGCTGTCATTTTTGGCAAAGGCACACACCTGTTCCCTTTCCACCCAGACACCAGGAAAGCCAAAAGGACTTCAATCATCACGTCAGCTCATCCAAAAACGATTGCCTTCCTGTCCACACAAAGATCTCCCTTTACAATCATGGCTCTGGTTGCTGAAAAGCTGACCCTCAGGACGGCAAGGCCAGAGGGCCCCCCTCGTCCACAGCACACCCCCTTCCTGCAGGGAAGTGTACCCTTCTGGACTGTGCAAACCGACGTATCTGCCAGGCCCCGTTTCAGTTACAGGCACCGAAAGCGGTTGCTGAAAAGCTGACGGAACATCACGGCTGTGGGGTGGATCCCCTCCCCTCGCAGGGAGAATTCTCCGGGAAAAGCAATGGTGGTGATAATACATACCTGTGGCTCATCACCAGTCATTTACTTGGCTTTAGAATTTGTTTTTGTGCTTACGTTGGAATATGGGTCTGCCCGAGGCTGTGGGAATTCACAGCACTTTAGATAAACTCCGTGTCCTTCCCCTTAAAGACCTGGCTCAGGCAGAAGCAGACTGGGCCAGTCTGCTGTGCTGCCTCCCCGCTCAGAACCAGACATCACGACGACCTCCCGAGGCCATCTTTGGCTGCCACTGTGCTCCAGGAGGGGACAAACCTTCCCTGTCCCGCCACCTGCCTCTGTGCTCCCAGGTCACCGCCTCCCTCTGACATCTAGTCTCCTAAAAAGCTTCTCACGTAATGGCAGGGACTTAAGCGGGCCACCCTGGGCATTTCTGCTTATTTGCTGGACACGGTTTAGATGGCTCATTGCCTTTAGGGAAAAGGACTAGAGAGGCGAATAGTGAGCAGGACATTATGGGGGAGAAGAATATCGTGTCTAGAATGTGAGCGTCCCGAGGGCAGGGGGTTTTTCTGTGGCCGCTTCTCCAGCACCTAAAACAGCACTAGCAACATCATGGAGAGTCAACAGACATCTGTCAAGCCAATGAGAAGGATCAAGGACTTCCCATCTCTAGAAATTCTGTGACATTGTTTTCTTAAAAACCACGAGCAAATGAGCCCCGGGAAAACTCCAGACAAAAATCCCCTCAAAGCATTAACTCCTGATTTTCTGGGGAAATGGTAAAGCAGGTCTACTCGGGTTTATTTGCGCCATTCAGCACACATTTCTCACCCCCAGTCACGTGCCAAGGACGGGGCCCAGATGTGTGGGGCTGGAGCTCTAGGAAGGCCGGCAGCCCCCCTCCCCACCCCTCCCCGCCCCCGCCCTGCACCGGCCGACAGACGGGGCCTGGTGATCCCGCACCACACGGTGTGCTGAGTGCTTCTCAGTGCCGGAGACGGGCTCTGGCAGCCAGGGAGGGAGTGACTAACTTCTCACTTTGCCCGGGGGCCTTGGGGAAGGCTGGGACTTGAAGCCTCAACAGGAGTTCACATGCCTGGCAAGGGGCAGAGAGAGAGGGAAGGAGTCCAAATTCTCATCTTGGACCATGGTTCCATCAGATTACACATTTACCAGAGTCGCTGACGAGGAGCCAAACGGACAAGCAAAGGTTGGCTCTTGTCTCCTCTCTCTTCTCCGAGAGGGATGCTAATAATGAACAACGGTGGCCCAGAGGCAGGTGAGGGTGAGGAAGACACGGGGAGAACGGGCCGCCTGGACAGCCAGCCCCTCGGAGTCACTGGGGCCCGGCCGTATGTGCTGTTCGCCACGCAGACGGGGGTCTGAGAGCCACACGGCTTCCCCATCAGGCTGGGCCCTCGGAGGTCCCCGCCACGCCGTGCACCTGCCTGGCACCTTGCAGACAGCCGGCCGCCGGGGGGCTGCTGCATCGGGACGACGGACAACAGGACAGACAGGCAGTCCTGAGACAAAGGGCGCTCTCAGGAGAGTGAGTGCTGCTGAAAACCTGCTGCCCGTTAATTGCCGGGGAGTGAAGGATGCCAAGGTATCTTAATTCAAATCTTACCTCACCGTCCCAGGGACCTTTTGTTGCTGTAAGTAAGGATGGTCCTCGGTTCCAAGAAGAAAATTAAAGGCTGCTCCCGAGATGAGCACAGTCATTTGGATGAAAGAAAACACACAGTTGCATTTAGAGATCAGATCTCAACAAGACGGGGCACCACCTCCCGCCCAGGGAGGACCGGGCCACAGGAGGCAAAACTGGAACTCATGCGAGAATCCTTTGCCCCTATTACAGCACCTCTCGCCGGGGATCTTGACACACATTTCAGGCGCTAATTAGTTCTTGCGGCTATTGCCACGGGTGCATATTACACATGCCCATTCTCCTGATGGGAAAACTGACAAGGACGTGGACAGGAGAGACGTTCTTGGAAGGAAACCATCCTACGTCTGCTTAACCGGGTTTGCCCAGGGAGAGCTGTGGTCTTGTCGCTTTGGCCTGGGGGCACTGTTTGCTGCGGAGCTCAGAGGCTCTGCCCTCCTGGGTCTGGTGCCACCATCTGTCCCCGAATTGGGAATAAAAATGGCAAAGGCTTACTCTGGAAGCTGAATGCTCACGGGAGTGCTGCCTGCGAAGAATAATGCCGTGGCAAAGGGCATGACCTCCGGAGCCAGCTTCCGTGGGCTTTTCTTTTTCTTCTTCTCCTTTTTCTTTTTCCTAGCTTCCGTGGGTTTAAACTCAGGCTCTGGCACTTACCAGCTACGTGACGTTGCTAAGTTGCTAAGTTTCTCCAGTAAGAAACCAGGCCCAGGTTTCCTCAGCTGGAACACAGCCTTGATGGCAATAATAGTTCTTTTCTCACAGGATCCATGAGCCTTCACGGAGTATTTGTGGAGGTTTTGAAACAATACCTGAGCCACAGAAAAAGTTAAGCATTGGGATGACACGTACGGAGTCACCGGCATCTTGAGCACAAGAGCCCCAGCTCCAAGCCGCGGCTCATTCTAATTCAATAACAGAGAAAGGGCTTTATTTGAATATCATTTACAAAACAATTAGATTTCTCGTATTTTCATATCTCATTGGTATTCTATTAGTTACCGCCAATTTATTACTGTATTTATAATATTGGTTTGTAGTATGCTTTTTTAAATGTTTTTTGTTCACTCACTTATTCAAATACACTTTAAACTAAAAAAAAATTTTTTTTAATGTCTATTTACTTTTTGAGAGAGAGAGAGAGAGAGAGAGTGGGCGAGGGGCAGAGAGAGAGGGAGTCACAGAATCCGAAGCAGGCTCCAGGCTCTGAGCTGTCAGCACAGAGCCCGGCGCGGGGCTTGAACTCACAGACCTCGAGATCATGATGTGAGCCGAAGTAGGAGACTCAACCGGCTGAGCCACCCAGGCTCCCCCAAATATACTTCAAAAGCAATGTGTAATACCCCCCCCCTTTTATTTTATATTCATCATGATGCATCACAGGACGGTGTTGGGTATCATGTGCCTGAATTGGTAAGCCAAGTTGCAGGTAGGAAATGAAGGGATCAAGGTGCCCGCATTCTAGGTTAGAGAACCATGGCCTGGGGCTGCTGGGGGAAACACTGTGGCAGGAAGTGTGAGCATCACCCCCACTTCCCCCAGCCACAATCCCCCAACAATGGCTATAGAGACCGCCAGGCCAGGTGTGCCCGGGGAGCTGGGAATGGAGAAACTTCTGTCTTTGAAGCGGGGGAAGGAGGCTTGGGGAAACCTCTGTCACACTGGTGGGGTGGGGGTGCGGTGCACTCCTGGCTCACGCAGGGACCAATGGGGGCCCTGACCCAGCCTGTCACCGCGGTGCCCGGGGTGTGTAGGAGCAACGCTGGGGGCAGCTGCGTGTTGGGAGCCGTGGGTGGAGACCGGGGGCGGGACCCACCCCCCCCATCTGTTGGCCCCTGATCTGGAGTTTCCATTCCAGCTGGAACATGAGATTGATTCTACATGTGCCCACGGGTCTAAGGGTTGGCCTGCTGAGGGTACGTGTGTTTGGGAGCCCGTGACCACACTGAGGGGAGCATCGGATCTGCACCAGGATGCTGTGAGCTGGCCAGGAAGATACAGGCCCAAAATCTAAAGGGACCATCGAAGGGGGGCTGCCCGGAAGGGAGCCCTCCTCTGGGGCCTCCTGAAGGCACCACCGGCCAGCATCAAAGCCATGTAGAGTACAGTATTGCTGGGTGGGAATTATGTCCCCCTTGCTGGGTCAAGGGAGATGATAGCTGTCTTCCACTTCTTCCTCTAGGCCCCAACGCCGGCTCTGTTGTGAAAAGCTGGAATGAGAACGAAGGAGGATGAGAGAGATCACCAGAACAGCCAGCAGACACAACCACCGGCCCCGCAGAAGGAGAGGAACTCTGGGCTGGGTATAATAATAGCCAAACTTACACAATGTTTCCTTTGCGAGCTTGGCACTCTTCTTTGAGAGCTTTAATTGTAGTGGCTCACTTACCCCTGGCAATACTCCTTCCTGAGAGGCAGGTACCATCAGCATCCCCATTTAACAGATGAGGAAACTAGGGGGCACAGAGAGGTGAAGCAACTTGCCCAAGGCGCTCAGCTCGTTAAGTGCAGAGCTGGATTCAACCCTGGCAGCTGGCTCCAGACTCCGTAGTTTTTCACTGAACAACACTGAATCTTAAAAAATAAATAAGACCGTTGGAAGCAATCACAACCAAAAAAAGAGGATGAACCAAAAATAGCCAAGAAGTTATAGAACTGGAATGACATACCATCATGGCTGCTACTCCCCGACAGGAAAGGAGGGTTTGACAGAACATGCCTGATGGCGAGCTTTAGATAAATAAAACAATTCCTTGTTTACTCACCCCCGTGAGTTGAGATTCCCTGATAAACTGCCTTCCCACAGCCTTCTCTGTTCCTTCCTGCAGGCCTGTGAGGCAGGCACTGCCAGTATTCTCACTTTACAGACAGGGAGACCAAGGTTCAGAGGGGTTAAATGAGCTCCCAGGGTCACCCAGCTACAAGGTGGGTGTTTGAAACTAGTTCTTACTGGCTTTAGAACCTGAGCTCCGGGGAGCCTGGGTGGCTCAGTCGGTTGAGTGTCTGCCTGTTAATTTTGGCTCAGGTCACGATCCCAGGGTCATGGAATGGAGCCTGGCATCGGGCCCTGCACTGACCATGGAGTCTGCCTGGGATTCTCTCTCTCTCTGCCCCTCTCCCTGGCTCCTGTGCTCTCTCTCTCTCTCTCTCTCTCTCAAATTAAAACAAAACAAAACCAAACCTGGGCTTTGAACGTCTTTGGTGCTGTGGAGGATACCAACATAAAGCCAACGTGGATGGTGCCATGTTTCCGGTCTAGTTATGTGAGGGAGAAGGCACAGACAGGTGGTGAGAGTGACACGTGGGGCATCCGGTTGGGCCGAGGGAAAAGAAACTCCAAGTGGCACTTCCCCAAAGGACTTAGAAATGACGGGACTAATGACACTGTGGGACAGTGCCAGTGATGGCTGACATTTTGAGCCCTTTACACTGGATACATATGGCTTCACGGTGACCTGAGGACAGAGGGAGTGTCCACTCCATGCTGTGCATGAAAACCCAAGGCTCAGTGGTGCACCCAAGGTCACACAGGCAGAGGCAGGCCCAGACGGAAGCCAGGCCCCTGCAGTTTCCCTGACTTGACCATCCACAGGGACTGGAGGCAGAGGAGACCCTGTTATTCCCACCATGCGGGGCGGGCGGTGCTGGACCTCTCTCTGGCCGAACCTCTCTCTGGAGCTCGTACCTGCACGTTCAATGACCCGCTGGACATCCTCCACCCGGATGCCCCCTGCAGCTGCCTTCCGCCCACCCACAACCTGACACGTCAACTCGTCTTCCTCCCAAACTATTCTTTCATTGTCCCATTTTCTCGTTGACCTGGTCAACAAATGCTCTCCTCCCCAGGCTCTGGGGGAAACAGCGAACATCTCTGTGGCCAGCAATACTTTCCGCCTGGTTGCCTTGGCCACGAACACGGAGACGTTCCTGCACACCCCACCCGCCAACCCTCCACAGCCAATTATTCACAAGTTCTTGTACTGCTCCTATGAGATGTCTCTGCAACCCATCCATACCTCCCCAGCCTCAGTCACCCTCTCCCTCCCCGGGCAATTTCCACCGGGTTATGCTGCACTTGTTTTCTTGTTTTGGTTTCTGGAGCTTTGTCACAGCACTCTTGCCCCCCCCAGGGTTTCACACATCCTGTCCCCTCTGGCAGAACACTCCTCTGACTTCTTCACCTGGCTGATACCCGTGTGTTCGTCTGATTTAGGTTTAAATGTCTCCTTCTCAGGGAGTCTTCCTGGACCCCGTGTATTGGCTGTCCAAGTACCCTGTATATTTCCTATCCTGCCGGCCATCACTCATTAATGTGTTAACTTATTCAGCACATCTTCTCTGCAAAGACCGTTGTCCTGCCCACCAGGGGATCCTTAATGATGGAATGAACGTATGAACGAATGGATCAATGAGTGGATGGATGAAGGCCCAGGCTCGTTAAGATCCATGGCAAAGTCAGGACAGAGGAAGGATCTCTGGGGGCTCCGGCAGGGAATCTGGGGGGAGGGGCAGAAATGCCAGGTGAGGATGGAGAAGTAAGCAGGAGCTGGAATAGGGTGGTCCTTGTCAAGGGTTTGAACATCATCTTGCAGACAGGAGCGTTCTGTTCACCGGAATAGATGCTCGCTCTGGAGACAGATCTGCCTTCCCCGTAGGCAACACTTCCGCCAAAATTACCATCTGTGGACTCACAGGATGCCTTATCCACCGTCGTAGTATTTCACGCGGCATGGTTTCTGAACAAGAAACTCACTTCATAGCAAATGAAGTATGGTAATGGCTCACGCTCGTGAAATTCACTGGTTTTGTCACGTCCCCCACCATCCTGAGGTGGCTGGGAAACAGTGGAAAGGCCTTTGTAAGACTCGGGTAGAGCATCAGCATGGTGGCAGTACCTTGGAGGCCGTGGGCCAGGTTCTCCAGAAGGCTAGATAGCCTCTGAATCAGCGTGCAATATATGGTGGTGTTTCTCCCCTGGCCAGGATTCACGGGTCCAGGAAGCAAGGGATGGAAATACGAAAGGCACCATTTACCCAAGCATCACTACTATGGCCCAGACCCTTTGCAAATGAAGGGTTGAGTCTTCCCACCAGATAAAAAACCATGACTGACAGAGGTGCTTGCAAAGGCATATGCAATGGGTAGAGGAAGAAGGTGTTATATATAACTACCAGCTATGACCATGTAACCAGTGACAGAAATGAGTATTTCTTATTCTGTTATGAATAGGAGTGGGTGCGTATCATGTAACATAAGATGGATATATTGACTGTATAGGATAGTATTTAAGTATTAACAATTTTTCCCAGTCTTACTCAGATATAATTGACATAAAACATTGTGTAAGTTAAGTCTTGCTAACTTTACATCACAGTATTTAAGATATAAGATACCAAGAAGAAGAGTAAACATCACTCAAAGAGTTTGTGCCCTCTTCTGGGGAAAGGGTTAGTTCTTTTTTTCTGTTTATTTATTTTTGAGAGCAAGCAGGGGAGGGGCAGAGAGAGGGGGGCAGAGGAAGTGGGCTTTATGCTGATAGGAGTGAGCCTGATGTGGGGCTTGAACTCACCAACAGCGAAATAATGACCTGAAACCGACTGAGTCACCCAGGTGCCCCCAAGGGTTAGTGTGATTTTGGTTGTATGAAGGATAGTTATATTATGATAGGCATAAGTGTGACCTCGTTATTGTCTTTATTCAGAGATTATTTTTTTAATTCTTTTAAGTTTATTTATTTACTTTTGAGAGAGAGAGAGAGAGAGAGAGAGAGAGAGAGAGAGCGCAAAGGAGGGGCAGAGAGAGGGAGGGAGAGAAGGAGACAGAGAGAGAGAGATTAAGTAGGGTTTAATGAGATGTGTATGCCACGTTGACAAGGGGTTAATTTCATGTGTCAGTTAGGCTGGGTCATGGTGCCGTGGCATTTTTTCAGACATCATTCTGGATGGTTCTGTGAGGATGTTTCTGGATGAGAATAATGGTTAAATCAGTGGGCTTTGAGTAAAACGTATTTCCCTCTTTGATGTGGGTGGACCTCATCCAATCAGTTGAAAGCCTCAACAAAACAAAGACTAGCCTCCCCTGAGCAAGAAGTACTTCTGCCAGCAGATGGACTTTTGGACTTGAACTATAGCAGTGACTCTTCCTTGAGTCTCTGGCCTGCTGGCCAACCCTGCAGATTTTGGACGTGTTGGCCTCCATAATTGTGTGAGCCAATTCCCTAAAATCTCTTTCTCTCTCTCTCTCTCTCTCTCTCTCTCTCTCTCTCTCTCTGTATATAAACACATACACATCTTCTGTGTCTCTGGAGAACCTTGACTTATACAGTTGTCCCTTCAGACTGTGGGACAAGCTGATCCTCTCCGCACCTACTTGACTCATCATTCTCAATCCCCCAATCTGTCCACATAAGTCCCAACAAAGTACCTTTGGGAGCCCCTTGTCCGTGGGGCCAGCTCTAGTGACCGAGTCCCTGCTGCTTCCTGCATCAACAGAAGATGTGTCCTGATGTGTAGCTCAGGTAGGCTCCTCCCTAAGAGATCACCTGGACTGTCACTGTCAGTTCTCAGATGGGGAAACTGAGGCCCAGAAGAGGAGACTTACCCAAGGTCACAAGTCAATGACATGCAAGGCTAAGTGAATTACGTGTTAGAAGCAAAACCTCCTTGCCAGGTTCTTGCTCTAGGGCAGGTGACATGAATACATCATACTGCTCATCTGTTTTATCTCAGTTTATTTATTGTTTCCTTCAGAACAGGCCCCCTACACAGAAAAGCACAGAGCTAGACAGGAGCAAGTCCAGTCCTTTGCACTCAAAAGGTGAGATTTTAAAATAGTCAAGGGATGGTTACTGATCGAAAATACTTCACTGTCTCAGCACAGTAAACACTTAGATTAACAGTGTGATAATGGGTTGTAATTCATAATGTCACAAGGTGGTTAACAAGAACTTGGAAACATAATCCATGACAAGTGCTCTTTAAATGGTTGTAAATCTAAACTGGGTTTCCTTTTGTGTTCTAATTGCAGGGGTGTTCAAAGTTAGTCACACAGCACAGTAAAGATTTAATGCCACTTGGGCTATATCACCAGAAATACATACAAAAAATTAAAAGGTTGTACTGACATTTTAATTGATGATAGTGGAAGTTTCTCTTAAATATTATTTAATAATAATATTGAACAAAGACTATTAAAAGATACCGGTGCCTGGGTGGCTCAGTCGGTTAAGTGTACGATGTCGGCTCAGGTCATGATCTTGTGATTCGTGAGTTCGGGCCCTGCGTGGGGCTCTGTGCTGACAGCTCGGAGCCTGGAGCCTGCTTCGGATTCTGTGTCTCCCTCTCTTTCTACCCCACCCCTGCTTGCACTTGGTCTCTGTCTTTCAAAAAGGAATAAACATTAAGAAAACTTAAAATAAATATTAAAATAAAAATAAATAAATAAATAAAAATAAATAAAATAAAAATAAATTAAAAATAAGTATTAAAAAATAATAAAAAATTATTTAAGTTTCTCTTAAATATTTTCAGGCACAGCCACCTTACAGTTGAGGTCCAGGTAAGAGCCTCTCTTGAGAGTATCAGGCTCTTGTATTGAATAATTCTGGAGATTTTCTATTTGCCCTAAAATCATACCAGACAGGATATGCTGTGAGAACTGTACTGAATATTTGATCAAGTCAGGGTTAATGAGATAAAACGAAAACTTACCTATGTCAGGT